TACTGCACTAATACTCGCTACTACTGAGTTAGGTGCCTTTGATAGGTGCGAGACACTTCTTAATTTGCGGAGAGCCATCCAGTGAATCTGTTTTTGCAGCTCGCTCGACAGACGAGTGAAACTTTCGTGTGAACATGGGCGACAACGCATCCACTGGATTTTTGTGTCACGGTGCCTAGTGCACAGTATCTCCCGCCACTCCAAAGTAGTTGAGCGAAGTTAAATTCTGCAGAACACGCTTGCAGTGTCCCGTCAGATAATGAGGATGAATGGCACAAAATGCAGTTTGAGGTTTCAAGTTGGATGCTCAACAGACCGTCGTAACGCAGAAGTGTGACTCACTAAATCGAACCTACTGCTTCTTTGGAGAAAGGTAATTTCCTGCGTGTTTGTTTCATGCTGGCTGCAAACTATTATGCACAATTCGGAGCACTGCACTGTGGGGCGTATCACGGTGGCAGAACTACACGAGATCAAAAATACTTCGCCACCGTACACTATCAGATGCTGATGAAGTGTATGCTGCTACCCTGCTCTATGGCTAAGGCTAGGAAACGCCTATGGCTCGTTTAATTGCTGGTCATCATGATTTTCAGGTGTTTCGTGCTCAAAGCATAGAAGCCTCGCTCGTGCCATGAGGCGTTCTACTGTCCTGCTTACGGCGTAATGGTGTAGAGTGTTTGCTTCGTCGCCATGAAGCTGAAGCCATTGCACTACTGAATGCATGTATGTATAGTGTGTCTGTCTTCTTGCCTATATATCATGCTGAATTAACAACTATGAGTTCACCATGCTCATGTTCGCCTTCGTTCGACGGGTCACGCCGGACCGGCAGCATCTCCGACTTTGCCCAATTATTTCTATCGTTCTCCCCTGCACTTGCATTGCAAAGGGAAATAATAGCGGTGTATAAATTAAGGTCTAGTCTGAGCAGAGAAGTATTTATTGCAGTGATTAACCCTGCCCTCTTCGTGCTGGTTGCGTACCGGCGACTTCGGGACCAGGAATTCTCTCGCCAAGGTCCACAACATTTGATTTTCTACAGTTGAAAGTGAAGCAGCATTTAAATGTGGGGCATTATTCACGTTTCTCTGCCTTACTTGCCATCCGTTGCCGTGTTATTTCTCCTGGTGACCTCGTGACGGTTGTGGTGACCCCCCAGTCAGCTCCCCATCCTAAATGGCGTTTTGCTCCAGCATATTGTCCGGATAAGAGTTCCAAAATTATCTTAAAGTCTTAATTGTCTAATATTAGCTTCTTGAAAGAATCTGCAATGATGGTTCATCCTGTTTTTACGGATCAAAGTGTGTTGGCATTCACACAACAATGGGCTGCTCCCGTCTGCTGAGTGGCTGGACCATTGGCTGGGGCGAATCATGTAGCTGTAGCTGCTACTATTTTTGGAGGCGTATCGTGTTGAACTTTAAAATTCTTTTACTTATCGTAGCAGTTCATAATATCACCAATGCGCTGGAATGGCTGCCCACGAGGCTGGATTCAGCCGCATTTCAGACCAGCACATTGCAGCGGTGATTCGTGATTCTGACGAGTGGGCCTTCGTTGAATACATGATCCAGATTAATACAAGGACTTCTCGTGTCAAGCTTCTCCAGGCCTGGCACATATCACCGCTCTCCGTTGTGAACCAGTTTGAGAAACGCACAGCTGTAAGACTGCTAGCAGCATACAAATTAATGTAAAAGGCCACCAGACAGGCAAATAGACCCAGACATCTAAGAAGACAGACTCCAGGATGGTTTCGGCTACGAAACTGCCAAAAACCCTACTGCCACTGCTCTTTCTCTCTACTCAGCGGCGTTTGGTGGTCTATTCTTTCGTCGACGCTTCTCTGCTTGATGAAGACAACTCCATACAAGATGTTGCAAGACGCGGCTTCAAAATTGGACCTCGGGGGATGAAGTTCGTGCTGGGGAATTTCAGGTGTGCTAGCGGAGGTGGAACGTTCAATAAAACGAATGATGCACCTGCAAAATAGAAAGGGTAGAAATATTCACCTAGCTCATCCTGTATGGGCGTATGAGTGTTGAAGAGTATGGGGGACGCTAGGCACTTGCGCTTGTTTTTGTTGAAGCTTGCAGGGAATCCCGCTTTTACGCGGCGGACCAAAAGAAGCACCGGATCCCTTTACGCTTCCTTCATGTGGGCTGCTCATGCACAGGCACTACAATGCGTTTACATGCGCCTGGTGACGCGCGTCTAAATGTTTCTACATGCCGTCACTCGGCCCGGTGTAGCAGTCATCTACGCAATGTAACGGAATGTTGTCAAGTGTAGCTAAAAGATTCGCAGTTTCATGCCTCATCCATGTGTGCAGCGGAGATACCGTCCAGCGCCGAAGAACGGCAGAAACACGATTTGTCAGAGTTCGTGGAAGCGGCGAAGACACAGCTTCTCAGTGGAGAACGACGCGTCTACGAGTACTTTCTCTGTAAAGTTGGTGAGAGCCTGCCAACACGAAGGTTGCCACTGGAACACTCTCCGTAATAACAGCTATTAACCTGTGTCAGGCCCTCCCCTTTGGCGATCGCATCATTGGGCATTTTCAGGTCCAAAGGGGCTTCGTCACCACCTAGAAAGGGGCTGGTATGTGCAACTTATGCATGAACCTCCAGAGTCCATGCGTATTTGCAGCCGCTCTTTGGCGTTCCTTGTTCAGGAGTGGGTCATTCGGTCGTCATGTCTGACGAAAGAGAAGCATCAGGCGAGCGCACCACGCTTCCACCAGAATACGATAGCGCATATCTGCAGAACGGTGGTGCAGCGCCGACAGAGACGCTCACCGTGTTCTTCGACGATCCTGAACAATCCAAAGGATCGTCCTGTATCAGAAGGGCAGAAGCTGTCCGACAGGCAAACAGAGGACTTTCTATGGCTACGGCTGGCGTCCTGCCTCGACACACTTTCCGTCAGGAATACGTTGTTTACGACTCATCACAGGTGAGATCAGTGCAGGGCACTGAATAGTAGCTACAACAGAAATTCCATATCTGGTTCAGGTGATGGAATGCCAACAACTGGGTGCCCTAGCTCTCACTGCCGGGTAGCCACGTTCTTGCACCCGGTTCAGGCGGTCAGTTGGCATCGTTCAGACGCCCGAGCATCTCATACACCTTGTGGGTACTGCATCGCGCATATTTCAGGTGGTA